TTGTTGGGCATGAAAAGCTGGTTGGTCTAGGCTTCAGATTCTCTCTTTTGATCTTATATTGGAGTGGCCTAATTGCTTTTGTCTTCAGAACTTCCCACAGAGGCCCAAGTGAGATGAGGCTAAGATGCTCTCAGGCTTTCTCCTAAGGTCTGGGTCCCTCTGGAAAAGATGCAGTCCTCAGGAATTTGGGGGCTGGGCTGAGCTGGCCTGGGAGTAGGGCCCAGGAAAGATGCTGTTCTCAGGAAGCTGGTGGCTGTGCCACCCAGGGATCCAAAGGGAAGTAGAGATGGGAAGAGGCCCCAGGTGCTCCTGGGGACTACTGGGAGGAATTAGGTTGGTCTGGATGCAAAGGATCATGAAGCAGTGATGACTCTAGGCCAAGAGGTTAGCCCCAATGTCTGGGGTGCCAAGACAAGAATAGGCCAGTATCCAGGCAAGGGGGAAAGATGCGGCGGGGGAGCTGGGAGGGTGAAAGAGTCTGGGGAGTCAAGTTGTGATGAGCCTGTTGGACTTACCCAGGGAAGGTGCTAGCACTAGGACACTGGAGGCTGTAAAGCCCAGGAAGCAAAGGGAGGTGAGGGTGGGACTAGGCCTAGGGGACTCCAGGGGACCAGGAAAGGTGCTGGCACTAGGACCCCCAGAGACTGTGCAGCCCAGGGAAGTAAAGGGAGGTGAGCTTATTAAGCTTTTTAAATTTCATACACTTCCCACTCACATTCCGAACCCCTCCCCCCATCCAAGCCTCTGCCACTGAACCCTATGCATTCTGCCATACATGCCGAGTCCTATTCATTCAGGTGTTTATACTCGTTTCCTTCAGTGTAAGTGTGTCCACTGGAGTCTAATCAGCCTATCCAGTGGTGGTAAGTTACATGTTCCCTCCAGCAGCAATCAAGCTCAAATAGTTCTCAATCTAGTGCTGGCCTGCTACTATTTTTCACCTCCCCTTTGGGCCCTTGTTTCATTGAGCTGACATGGGTCCCACACTCGAAGCCATCACTGCCACAGGGTCACATGAGCAAGCCTTCAGTGGCCTGGAAGCCTCCATCTTCCTGTAATCATGAACCAGCTCTGGCTCTTATAATCGTTCCTCCTCCTCTTCCAAAATGGTCCCTGAGCTGTGTGTGGGTGAGGTTCTATATACGAGTCCCATCCTGCACTCTACAGTCTCTTATTCTCTAAAAATTGGCCAGCCTCGGGGATGGAGAGATGGCTCAGTAGTTAACACTTGTTCTTTCAGAGGACCTGAAAGAACACAACTCACACTCATCTGTAACTCTAACTCTAGGGGATCTGATGCCCTCTTCCAGCCTCCACGAGCACTTAGACACATACATACACACATAATAAAAATAAATCTTCTGTTAAAAAGCCAGTCTCTTTCCCCACCAAGTTTAATATAAATTATGATACAAAGTTTTAATTTTCAAAATACACCTTCCATGAACATTACAGATTTTTTCTTTTTTTTTTTTTTTTGAGGCAGGGGCTCCCTGTAACCACAGCTGGACTGGATTCACTATGGAGACCAGGCTGGCCTTGAACTCACAGAGGTCCACCTGCCTCTGCCTCTTAGTTCTGGGATTAAAGGCATGCACCACCATGGCTGGTTTATAGCTTAATCTTAAATCTGCAAGAAGGTAATTAAAATAACTGACATAAAAACACAGTATTTTGTGTTTTATTTTGTGTTTGTTTGTCTTTTTGAGACAGGGTCTCCCTGTAGCCCCAGCTGACCTGAACTCCCTTCATAAACCAGATTGGCCTTGATCTCATAGAGATCTGCCTGCCTCTGCATCCTGAGTGTTGAATCAAAGGCACGTACCACCATGCCCAGCTGTTTTTGTGTTTTGATAAGACGTCTGAAACATCTTTATACTATTTCAATATTAAATAGTATCTACAGTGCTGATAATCCCTTATCTTATCCATGCTACAGAAGCACTCTACCATTGAGCTACATCTCCTCCCACCACCACCACCACCACCACTTTTTTTTTTTTCTTATTTTGAGATTGTTTCATTAAACTGCCCAGGCCTGTACCGCCAAGCTTGGCTCAATATTTAAATCACTTTATCTCAATCCCAGGCCACTGCAACACTTTGCTCACAAGTATCTGTTAAGATGTTTTCCAGATTAGCTAGTCTGAAATTCCATTGTCTTATTATTTTCATTAAGAATCTCTAGGGGCTGGAAAGAGCACCCAGGTTTGATTCCCAACACCCACATGGTGGCTAACAACTGTCCATAACTCCAATTCCATGGGAATCCAATGCCTTCTTCTGACTCCACGGGCATTGCATGACATGGGTGCACTTACACACATGCAGGCAATACACTCATAAACATAAAAAAATAATAATAATTTTTTTTTAAAAAGAATCTCTAATAGCCTGGTCTACATTGTGAATTCCAGGTCAGCTGCCTGTCCCCCCATAAAAGAAAAAAAAATCTCTACTAGGGAAGGAAGCTCAGACTCCTAGCACAGCATTCCCTACTCCTTGTAACAGTTTCTAGTTTGCATACCTTCCTTGTTCTTACCGTATGGTACCATGCCACCAGTTTCCTTCTGAGTTGTACACCACGCTGGTATTGTATTGATAGTAGCCATTAGGAGGACATCTGTAGGAATTACATGGCTTTTTGTCCCCCATGTTTGCCAAGACATAGATAGAGCTGTTCTTGGCCAGCCAGCTGAGTCTTCCTTGTACTGGTGTGTGACCAAATCTAAATCAGATTTTAATGAAGACATTTAAATTTCTTGTGTTCACTTCGGTAACACATATACTAAATTTAGGACATTTAAATTTCTAAAATGGTTTAACACACAAAACTAGTCTTATCAACAATCAGACATAGAAATAGTGGGAGGAGGGGGAACATGGGATCCTATCTCTTACCACTGAACTATTGACTATTGGTAGATTCTAAGATGGGTGAACACTGTCTTTAGTTGTGTATCTACTACTGAGCTGTCCGAGCTACAATGGATAACTCCATAACCTAGGTCACAGAGGCAGCCCTGGTTGAACACTGTGTCACAAAACAAAAGGAATAGACTCGAACTCAAGAGAGACTTGTGGGGAGCTGAACAGGGATGATAGGGAAATGGCAGTGGGTGGGAGGTGAGAATGGTCAGTCTGTTTTGTGTACATGTGTGAAATTGCTAGGTTCAAACTTATTTTTTTAAGTGTTTAAGTGACTTCCTACAGAAGCAGCAGTAAAGGCCTATATGCACCTGAAGTCAATAGGAAAACTACTCATAGAAAAAAATCACGTTTGAAAAGCTGCAATCGGGTGAGGTGGCGCACGCCTTTAATCCCAGCACTTGGGATGCAGAGGCAGGTGGATCTCTGTGAGTTCCAGGCCACCCAGGGCTACATAGTGAAACCTTGTCTCCAAAAAATAATAAATAAGTAAATTAATTAATTAATTAATAGCTGCATATTATACCTAGATGTGCTGAATATTTTCCAGAGCATGCTTGTTTCTGCAGCAATCCTTTATCCATCCTTCTGCATCCTCAGTAATCACTTATCTATTGTATGATCCCATCAACAAGAAATATTCCCTAGAACCTTCCATCTTTAAAAAACAATAAATGACAAAGCACTCATTACTCCCTTCCTACAGTCTCTTCCAGATCCTTCAGTTCTCAGATCCCTCTGATCACAAAGTTACTTGACAGATCTTTCCAACTTACCAAGGACAGTTCCTCCTATCCCCTCTTCTGAAGCTAAATCATCTTCATCTCTCCCATTCTGGCTCTTACTAATGCCAACAATGACTCTGCCCTCATTGCTCTGATCTCATCTTACTTATCAGCAGAGTTAATCTCATCCTCCCTGGAAACTCACAACTCCCTGGCTTCACCTGTATCAGCCTTCTCATTCTCTTCCTCACTGTTTGCTTTTCTATTCCTTTGCTGGCTTTTCTCCATGAGTCTGAAAACTAGAAACACCTACCACCCAAGCTTCCCTAATTCATCATGGTGTTACAACCTCCCCTATACTGACCTATGGTTTTCTATCTCCTGACCTATCCCTTTATACTAGACTTGTTTGTAACTGACATGAGGATATCTTCACCCAGACGTCTAAAGAACAGCACACACTTAGGATGCAGAAAAACTGAACCTCTGACTTTTATCCCAATACCTACTAGTCCTTCAGTGCTTCCTACCTCCCCAAAACACAGTTGTAGTCCTCCAGTTAATTAACTGTAACTGTGGCACAACGGTGATGGTGCAAGCCCATTTTTTTTGTTGTTATAGATTTTTCTTCTCTCCTAAGACTGTAAAAGAGGAGTTTACTAGCCATATGGAATTAAAAATCTTCTCCCGGTCTTCTCTAGTTCTTTGACTCACAGTTTTACAACAAATGTTTTGAAAAGGAATCTAGAACTCAGCAACTACCTACTCTTGCACAAGAGAGTTTCCTACAGATCCAATCTGAAAAGAAAAAAGAAAGAGAGAAGGGGAGAAAGCTCCACTGTCATGGACCTGATAGTCTTCTCTGGGCATTCTGTCCCCCTCTAGAGCTAAGAAGAGTCACTTCGCAATGACAGAAACTACAGAATTGCCTAAAGAGTGTGCCCCAAGATAATTGCAGACGAATGTTTAATAAACTTAGTTTGAGGGAAAAGAATGTCCCCCGCCATCACCACCTCCCCCACCACATGAGAGAGAGAGAGAGAGAGAGAGAGAGAGAGAGAGAGAGAGAGAGTCTATGGTCTGCACTAAGCCCCTCATACTACAGAGTAACATTCATATACTCTATATGCACTTTACTTTAAGTATTTTATATTAGAAGGTTTCTAAATAACTTTTTCTGAGAGAAATTAGAAATTAACCCCCATGGGCCTGGGATAATGTAGTTTTAAAGCACAAGATCTTGACTCACTAGAAAGTCCAGGGTAAGTGCCTTCTTCCTAGAGGCGGGCTCCAGACTCTAGAAAATAGAATTTGCTGTCCAGTTCAGAAATTAAATTACTACTTTTGTCCATGAAATTATTTTCCCCTAGTTTTCCTTGTAATAAGTACTCTGTTTACCTGTTTTCCCTAAATTTCACAAAGATATTCAACTATATATTGTTAAATGATAGTCAGTTATGATTTTTTACACTATAACAAGTGCCCAAGATAAATATAACCATAACACACAGCACGTGTATAATGATCCAGAATCTATTATTTTGCTTTGGTAGTTGATATACCTGTGGGGGGTCTTGACATGGAATCCAATCCACCTGAGGGTCTGGGATATCCTCCATGTAAGGGAAAATGCTCTCTCTGGTAAATTGCCATCCATAAAGTGCATCTTCTAGAGTCACAATGATTCAAGCACCCTGTTCAGAAGCAGTCAAATCAAAATTGCTTTTCCTTGTACAATATAGATAACACCCCAGTCTCCTACCAGGTCCCATATCCCTCCCATCAATTATGATTAGCAGAAATGAAAGGATACCTGCTGAGATGCTTACTTAATTGCTATCTCCAGAATATCCATATTCTTGTTCATGAGGAGCAACACATCATCCGGAGAAAAAGGTATTTCTGTTCTGTTTGGCAGGAGGACCACATGCTCATATACAGCAGCTATAAAAGTATCCAGAGCATCAACAGGCAAGGTAATTACAGTCAGAACCAGCACAGAGGCTGGAAAAGAAATGAGCATGACCAAGGTTTACTGACTTCTGGAAGTAAAGCAATGTTCAGGGTGTATATATAGAGAGAACACTGATGTCATAAATGGCTGCTGACTACTGCGTAATCATATGAATATATCCTGACTAGCCACTTCTGAGGGAAAAAAGAAGTGTTGCCGTTCAACGAATGATGAATACAATTATAAATGATTACAAAAATTAAGCATCAGGAGCTATTGATGACATTTTTTTGATTTATTTATCTTTATTTTATGTGTATGAGTGTTATGCCTGCATGTGTGTAAGTGCACCCATGTCATGCAGTGCCCACAGAAGACAAAAGAGAAAGTCAGATCCCCTGGAACTGGAGTTACGGATGATTGTTAGTCACCATATGGGTGCTGAGATTTGAACCCAGATCTTCTGCAAGAGCAGTCGGTGCTCTTAACTGCTGAGTCATCTCTCCAGTCCCTATTGATGAGACTTAATATCAAATTAAAAAGTCCAAAGCTGGGACTGGAGAGAGCACTCAGTGGTTAAGAGCACATGCTAATCCTGCAGAGAATCTGGGTTCATTTCCCAGCACCCAGGTTGGGTGGCTCACAGCTGCATAAAACTCCAGCTTCAAGGGATCTTGTACGCTCTTCTGACCTGCATGGGTACATACATATACAGACACACAGATTCACAGACACATAAAAAAAAATAAATAAATAGAAATTAAAATATTTTAGAAGTTCAAAGCTAGACTCATTCCAGTCACTAAGGCAGAAGGATTGCTGGCAGTTTGAGGCCAGACTGGGCTACATGGCAAGTTCCAGGCCAGTCTGCACTACAGTTTGAGACCTTATTTCACAGAACCAAAAGGAAAAAGGAAAAAAATTCAGATATAATACAACTCTATCTTTTTTTTAATACAAAATAACCAGGCATGGCACACACCTGTAATTTCAGCACCTGTGTAGTAGAAGAAGGAGAATTAGGAGTTCAATATCATTTTAAATTACAGAGAGAGTTTGGGGCCAGCCTGGGCTACCTGAGACCCTATCTTGAAGAAAACATAATAACTAAATTCTTGTGTGAAAAATAAATCATATCACAACAAACATTAAACATCTCATTACATTTAAAATCTGTAACTTTGTTTTGTTTTAATGAGTGTCTTAACACTGCACTTATCTTTAGGAGAGAAACATTGTGGGATATTTATACACACACACACACACACACACACACACACAGAGTATAATGATATTGAGAAAAAATTTACCCAAGTTGGCATTCTGGCTTTAGAGACTAAAAACACGTGTTCCATTAATCAGATATTTTTTCTAGTTTTTCCCTGATACATGTAATTTAGGGGTCATAAAAAGGGAAAGGAGCCCCTCACACTGGAGACTGATTGAAGTCTTTCAGCAGCAGTGCTGAGAATTCTGACACAGCTGATGTAACTCACTTGTGAAGATGGTCTGCACAGAGATGATGTTCTTTTTCTGTAGAGATAATTTTAAATAAGGTTAAAATAACAATGAACCATGTTTAAAGCCAAAGTACACATGCCCTCTAAGTTTAACCTTAGTCCTTTCCCAGATGTAAACCTGTAACTTTCTGAGACTCTCACAAACAAGATTCTAAACCCAAACTTGGCATCTTCACTGCCTTGTGACCTAGTACAGTCACTCATGATTTCACCTGTCCTTTTGAGTATGTTTTCCCCTTAGCGTGTAATCTCATCCAGATCCCAGAAACCACTTTATGATTTCATTTACTAAAAAGATAATTTTTCCCAGCACTTGGGAGGCAGAGGCAGGTGGATCTCTGTGAGTTCAAGGCCAGCCTGGTCTACATAGCAAGTTCCAGGCCAG